AGAGTTACTCTGCAAAATTATGTTTTGGCCTCAGTTCAAGATTCGATCCACATGTGGTCTGAAATGAGTTGACTACTACTCAGCTGACTCATGGCTCCTTCAAATTTCAACTAGAAATGTATTACATATTGAGTTCAACTACAAATTTCATTATTATTAATTAGCTATTTGTGAATGTGAAGCATCTTATTTGCTGATAGGTTGATACCAAAATGTGGCTGATATATTGGTGCGTCCCTTAAATGTATTCACAGATTTTTACCATTAAAATGTGCAAAAGGTTTTCATGAATGTTTGATGAAGCCAATACGAAGCCAATATGAAGCCTCTTTGTGTAATTACTGTTAAAGGTCTAATGTTCCTAAAGAAGCTTTGGTTTCCTTACATCTCTGTGACATTGCCACAAAAAGCTGAATCACTTGATATGATTGTCAGTCGTCCAGCTGACTAACTCTTCAGCTTGGTTGCAGCATATGGTGGATATAAAGAATGCATTTTTAGGTAAGATATCTGATCAAATTTGAGGAACATATGGTTGCACTTTTATTGGAAAATAGTAATCAGAACCTGCATGTACAACAATCATGGCATGACTCACTGTGTGTATTCGTGTTATTTGTGTATACTTGATTTAATTTGGTGCATATAGCACCTCCAGACAACATATTGGAGTGATTACCTCTAATTCCGCTGCCTATAATGACAACCATAGAGTGCTGACTTGCATATTATTTGGTACAGAAAACCCATTATCAAATGTAGCAGTTCCCAATCCCATCCATAAGGCAATAAACAGATGGAATTGTATTCCCACCAGCCATCAATAGCAAATATTCTTACAGGCATAAGGAAAGGCACAAGGAACATAAAGCTCTCATCTTAACACGTTGTTAAAGTTCAAGCTGTACAAAGCTTGAGAGAGCAGGTATTATTTCCCAGTGGAGCACTGACAGAAAAAAAACATACATGTGTCAGACGCACTGGATTATAACAGCCTCATATGGAGAGTAGTATACAAAGTCCTGTGCTATTGTTTTAGTTTGAACTTTAACCCTCAGTTCTGTAGTGAAAAGGCACTTTAGATTCATGAACAGCAGTATCACTGTTTCTACAACCTTTAGTTGAACAAGTACAGCTTCTGCAGGCAGTAGAAATAATAATTGTGTGTTATTTTGACACAATATTGGCATAAAAAATATGCTTTTCATCATAATTGGCAGTGATACAGGAAAGCTGTGATATATACATATTATTTAGAGAAATAGTATTGACTCTAAATGCTCCTTTTCATCTTGTCTGCCAGTGTCTTCAAGAAGTGCATTGCAACACATGCTGCACATCATTACACAGAAGCATGGTGCAGAATAATGACAATGATTTCTCAAAGTGTGGACCAAAAATATTAGTGCTCATCTCCTTGCGATAAATTAGCTAACTACTAATTAAAATATTCTATCTTTCTTAAGCACGCTGCTATTTGCTACCTCTTTGATCAAGAAAATATGAGGCAAACGACAAATTAAAGGGATATATCATCCACAAATGACATGCTAAGACTGCTCTATATTCTCAAGTAGAATATTATATATTATGTCTGTTAGAGTTTTCTGGAATGAATTATGACTCATTTTCACAATCATTAACAAGTCCTGCAACTGAACTACATCCTAAAATAAAACTTACAACTGTCAACAGAGGGAGACAGAAGTGCTTGAAAATGTGTCTGATGAAAAATAGGATTAAAAGTTGTAATCTCACTGACAACATTTGCATTATGTATTTAGTAGTTTGCTACAAAGGGATGAGAGGTTGGCTAGGCGTTCACAGCGATAGTCTTTGTATTCCTAATGTGTAAAACACAACTGTAATACTCCCTCAAGGTAAGAACCAAACTGCAATGCTTTTGTGAGTGATACTTTTAATTGAATCTTATGAATTAATTAATTAAGGGTGTTTTGGGAGCTAATTAATATGAAAACTGAACATTTTAATCTCTGTGCTTTTTAATGGTATTTCTGAACAACACACATGCACACAGGGAACACATTGCTTAATTCAGCATTTTCAATCATGTGCATAACTCTTCTGTGATTACTTAATACATTAAGTAAGAGTTACATCTTGTTCAAAGCAGGTGGATTTAAAGTTTTTATTCAACTCTTCATGTATAATTAGTTCACCTCTTTTGTTTCTGTTTGTTCTCTGATTAAAGCCAAGTTTCTAATGGGAATCTGTAACAGCACCATCCAACTGAGGTAGTTTAAGCTTTGCTTGTCCACTGCTTCAGCTGATTAGAAAATAGTATGAATATGAATGGAAAAAAAGGAGATTTTAGAGCTAAAAAATCTCAGATAGATATCAATATCAGTCATTTTTCTGAGGATTAAAAAGTTGGTATACATATTTTAACATAAACATCATAAAGAAACATTTGTTATATAAAGCTCAGCTATTAGTGCATTAAATAATTAAATAATTGTGATCAAGATATGTACAGACTTGTAAATGCTTTCTAATGGACACTCTATGTAATGGAGAGACAGTATATTAGCTCAAATACTGTATCTTAAAAAATACATCAAACATCTGTACTGTAATTTCTTGCTATTTATAGGTCAAAATAGATGTTGCTATCAATATATTAACTATAAACTTGTTGGTTAGGCATATAGTACAGATCCAATCCAAGCAGAAGAATACTGTCATACAGTGACAGTGACAGTGACCTCTACATTATTGAATGTAGATTCAGTTTTTTGTAAGGTTTCATAGAATTTGTACAATAAGTAAAGACAAACATCCTACAGTTTTACTTTGAAATCTCCACTTTTAAAAACATGTTATGCAAGATAAGCACATACCAAGGGTATAATGTTGTATGAAGCTCTTGTTTAGTTCTTGAAAGATTGAATATTACCTCAATCACAATGAATAACAACGCTGGATTCTGGAGTGTGTAGTATTTCAGAATCAGTATCAGAAATACTTTATTGATCCCTGGGGGGAAATGTGTTTACAGTATTTATTGCTTAAATGACAAAAAGATTGACATAACTCATGTCCTGATCCTGTGTGTACTTCATCACCTGGAATGGTCCATTTACATAAAGCATTCAGCCTTCACGACTGCTGTCATTCAGGCCCATCCTGAAATGGATTGTGCACCTAGTGTGTCTGGATGAGTTGTTTTTCAATCAGTGAGGAGGATTAAATGCTATCAGTGCCAAGTTAATCCATATAAATGTTATTCATCTTAGCTTAAACTTTTGTTTTTGAATCTGGCAATGGGAATGTTAAATGATACAAAGAACAGTATGCAGTATAATGTCACACAGATAAGTGCTCCTCTGCATTACAGATCTGTGTCAGCATGCTGTGCTTTTCCGCTGAAGCCACATAGTCAATAAATTCTCACTGTTTAAAAGGCGCATGAGTAGAATTTTACTCTCAAAGATCTAATGAAATGACGAGGAATTGACCTTGAGGACACATGGGATTGATTCTTTACCACCATCCTCATGGTAATTGACCTTCTATGGTTCTGATCTGAATTATAAGTGAGTTGTATAGAGAATATATGTCACACAAGAGTGCTCAGTCCTTCAAGGTTTACAATTCAGGAAGGCAACAATGGTTCCACAGGGATTAGAGATGTGCATGGTTCCGAGTTAGAAGACTAAAACGCAGCATCAGCATACAAAAGTGAATGAGCACATCTCTTAGTAAAAGGTTCCCATTCGATCCATTCTGATTAAAAGCTGTAATGGATTTGAACATGCTGAAAAACGGCGCATTAATTTCTCGTTTGGCAATGAAAATTAGTGATCCAACTGATTGCTTGTTTAGATAATGAATGGCAGAGCCTCACATGTCATTTACATCCATTCATGCTGCGAGAAAAGCCAGTGATTTAAAAGCCTGGAATATATTTTTAGCACCACAGCTTTTTTCTCAGGTGCTATGGCCAGGTCAGCAATTTGATTTGAAGTGGGAGTGGCGTGGAAGGCCACTGTGCAAAATTGAACCAAATTCGACCTGCAGCATGTTAAACCATGTGTAAAATCCTCGCGATGGGCTTAGAAAACGATCCCTGGCTGGAGCTGCAGCTTCCCCCCCCCCACCCCACCTCTGTCTTTAGGGATGGTCACGCTCATTTCTGTGCACCACTCATAGGAGCCTTTGAAGGAAAAGCAATGTCCAGGAGCCCATTAACCTGCCCTGCGCCTGTGCACCGATTCCTGACACACACGCAGACACCAGGTCACAACCTCTGAGAAAAAGCAGCCACCTTTTCACACAACATGCAGGTCTTTCTTTGGTTATTGCATGCTATTGGTTTTTTTATTGTATTTCCAAGACTCCAAGAAAAATCCTCTTGTAAAATTTCCCAAGTGATAATAACTGTCAGTTTTGCAGTGACACTTATTTTGAGTTGTCTAGTGTTGACTGCAGGCTTGTTTGTCTGCTCATAAAGCTGTTATGACTCTGGGGCGGCTGTTCAAAACTGTCTAAAAGTGTTAAATTAACTCTGCTAGCTGTGAGCATATTTTAATACATTAAATCACTGGCATGGTGATTTTTGCACTCACACAGTTAAGACTCACACTGACAAAAACATGAAGTGGAGAGTATCATTATTACTTCATTTTAGAGCCTAGGGTCTGTGGTGGTACACAGTGGCCTGTTCTGACCTTATTATATTTTTATGATGGCCCTAAACTATCACCATATTCATGCAGAGACTTATTGTTCTGCTCTGATATTTGTGGTGTGTTATCCTTGTACAACTGATCACAGGATCACTAATTTACCCTCCCGAAATGCATGTAAGAAAGTAACCTTTATGTCACAGGGTGTAATTGTTTTGACAGTTTACCAGAGATCAGAACTATTTCTAGGTGTTCTCCATTGGTGAAGCGTCTTCATTAGTCAAAAAGCGTGGGCGGGACTCTTGCTCTCTGCAGCGAGTCAAAGAGAAAGGCAATAAAGGGAGACAGGAGCTGCACTTTGCCGACGAGCATCTCTGCCGTCCTGCTTCACTACAGTAATCACTGCCCCCGGATCTGCGAAAATACACAGGGACTCCTCTGTAAAAGGCAGAGTTCATCAATGTAACTCCGGTCAGTCCGAAACTGCGCCGTTTACCTGGATAAGTCCATCCCGACGAGAAGACAGAGAAAGAGAGAAAAAAAAGACAGAGACAAACGCGAGTGGAGTTTCGACGTAAAATTGTGAAGGAAAAGAGAAGAATATGATCGTCAAGCAGCACTTGATCTTCATCCTTTACAGCCTCTGCGCAGACGTCTTTAAAGGTGAGCGCTGGATGCTGCTGTATAGACGGGTGTGGTGTGCGGGGAGGTGGTGGCTGCGTGAAGTGTAAAGATCATATGTGATCATGTCACACGTGAGTGCAAGTATTCAATACAAAGAGAGTTGATTTTCCTCTAAAATGATGCGTGTTTGCGCAGCAGTTTTGGCCGGAGGACGGCTGTCGTCTGCTGTCAGAGCCGACTGTGCTGGAATGCCTGGAAGTTGAATTGTGCAGCGCAATGAAAAGCAGAATGCGGGTGCACAAGTTTTTGTATCGGAGACAACTTGGATGTTGCCCTTCCTATGTATTAAGTGACAGATAAAACATCAGGCTGCAGATGAGTCGCCTGCAGTCCCCTCCTGTTTGTCTGTTCATCCAGTTATGTCCCCTGGAGCTGACACAGGGATGCACGAAAGGTTACAGCAGCTGGTGGCGTGCGTCTTGTTTGTTGTGTGAGATCGGTGTCATTGAGTCGATCATTTATAAGTCATCCTGTCGGGTCTCTTTGGGCCTTTTTTAAGTAATTTCACACATGACTTTAAATCAGTGAATTTCACAAGAATTCTTTGATATAGCAGTGGCTGCATTTGAGTTTAGATTGTGTCTCCAGCACGGTCAGTTTGCGCACTGTGTGTGAGTGCAGGCAGAATGTGTGTGTGTGCGGACGCGTTCTCCAGGAGTGCCTGTATGCATTACTGACCGTGCAAGCCATGTAGTCGCTTATTCAAAGTTGAGCTGCTGGTATCAGACGCAGGTTAGGTTGCCTGTGTGGTGCCTCTCTGCAGCCAGGCATCAGTGTCTCCTCATGACAACTCCCTCAACTCCCCACAGACCGTCCCGCTCTTGGACATGCTTGCGCAGCCACCGCCCTGTAGGCGACCAGTGCGCAGATACATAACGCCTACAGCAGAGGGGGGTGGATGGGGGCTGTCAAAGCAGTTCATGTCAGGAACTCCCAAATCAAAGCAAACGAAATCCCCACTGACCCAAATTTGACAAAGATTTTGTCCCACATGTCATCAGAAGGAATGATACCGTAAACAGTAGTGAGGAGATAACAGTAGTGAGAGTGACCTGTGATCAGTGTGTTCTGATTATTCTGATGATTTTGAATTAATTTAAATTATTTATGTTGAGGTTTCCCCCAAGGAACAAACACAGACCATCAAATCAGCAGGAAACCTATAGTCAGACTCTCTGCTGCTCATTTAACTTCCAAATTGCATCATTACAACAAAACAATTCTTAAATGAGTTCTATTTCAGTGTATTTCTGCCACATGTCAAATAATTTTAATCCAAGTGTCAGTGTTTAAGAAAATGCACAGCTCAGTTTAGCTCAATTTCTAGGCAGCTTAATGGTGTTAAATTTCTCTCTAAAATTACAAAATGATTATTATTATTTGCCTTGATGTATGTTATTTGGCACTCTTGCAGTCTTTCCTTTTGGCAAGTTTACACCCCACACATTTGTTTCATCTCAATGCGCTGTCCAACTCAAGTGGTGTATATCCAGCTGTGACCTGATGACACATCCCGCCACATCCACCTCATGCCATGCCGATTCAAGGCGTGCCCCCTTTGGAGTTAAATGACCATGCGTGATTTTGCATGTTTTATTAACATTGTAGTAGTTACATAACTGCTTAATCTTTGGCACACCATTTCCATCCAGAAAGCCATTAGTGTCAGTCCGTGTCAGTATTGCATGAAAATTAACTTGCAGATACATGGAAGTAACTTTGAAAACCTTTTGATAGTGCATTTAAGGATACTTGGGATTACTTAGGATTTGAGAATTGGCCACCGGTAAGAATTGTATTCTTGGACTATATTGTAAGGAAAGCCATATGTATATATTGAAAGTCAATGGTGTTAAAAGGATGTGAATGTGAATTGAACGCCTTCGTCTTACCCTCCTATTCAAAGTGTGTAGGAGAAACGTGCGTCAGCCGTAGTAGTAGTAGTTTCTCCTACTACGTTTGCTGAAAACGTGAAAGGCCCTATCTAGAGCCAGTGTTTGGTTTGTCCTTCAACACTTGACCTGTGTGTAACATTTACGAGGATCTATTGGCTGAAATTGAATATAATATTAATAGGTATGTTTTTTTAACATTGTTGTTGGCCTGCCAGGATGCTCCATGTCCCATCTATTTAGATTTAAGTTTAAGTATCCAGAATAATGAATGAAATATTATAACATGCTTGAATGTCAGACGCCAATCATGGCTTTAACAATAGAGTAGAAATACCAAAAGTCCAACTTTAAACTAATCACTTCCCTCTTTTTTTTTCTTTTTAGTGGACATTATACATTGTTGCATTATATTGCTATTTCAATATATGGCTCTATCAGAGGGCTGTGATCAGAAACTATGCTTTTCCTGCTCTGGATTCCATATGGAATACTGTAATATAAGGCTCAAAAGGTACAAGGGCTAGCATATGATTCTGTTGCTACAGAACTGTTAGCATTAGCATCATTAGCTAACACAACAGTGATAACAGTGTCGAGAATAAAAATGGGCATCAGAAAGCAAGCCCATTTTGCAACAGATTTTGATTCATGACATCCTGCCAGAGAGAACAAGGCATGGCGAGTTTTATCATCATGTGTAAGAGCTCTGCTAAGATAGTGCCCACTTCAAACGCTACTTTAAATATTTATGTGTCTCAAGTTTAGACACATGAAGTTGTAGTGCCCAGGGTAGCGCCCCAAAAGAAAGCACTGAGAGAGCACACACCTCCGACAAGGCTGCAAATTTGTTATTAAAATGGTCTGACATTTCATTAGGATCAGGATCCGCTGCAAAATAGACAGACACATATGCCAGATTTTTTCATTCGAGTAAGTAGTTTGCAGTAGTAGTTTGTGGCAGATATTCAAAGAATTCCCCATCTTGCGGTGTTAACAAGTCATTTTAATAAACTGACAATGTGCATCTCGATCAGGTTCTGCACTAGGACGTGCTTTAACCTTTCACCAAATTTCATTCAAATGTG